AGCTTTAAATCTAGTTCTTAGCTTGTCAACCTTACACAGAAACCAAACAGCCAACAAGACAGGAGAACATAGACTGAGCTTAAATGAGGACTTTGCAGATATTATATCTGTATGCTATCCAATGAGTATCAAAAGATCATAGTAAAACAGCTTTGACTCGTTGTTTCCACTATATAAAGTCATCTAAAGCTACATTTACTGGCCTCAGTGCTCATTTCAGTTTTTTAGTCAGGTTGGATGTTTATATTCACGTTTGCGACACAGTTTTAACTGAAACGTGAGCTGCATGTCTTTATGTGTGGAAAAAAATGTCGATCTGTGACTCACATGAGCTGTTGGTGTTGTTTTTCTAGTTATTAATGTATTATTCATAACATCGAACCTTCTGTCTTTCAGTTGCCATGTCAACGACAGGAGACAAAATCCTTGACACGGCTTTATCAAAGGTGAGGCTTTTCATGATGGTGACGAATCAAGCGACATTATAACCGGCATGTCTACTAAATCTGCAAAATAAAATAAAGAAAAATCTATATCATGTTGTTCAAATGATTTCTCCATGTTAAGCACTAGTTGTGGTCTGTATTTAAATGATCCACACAGCAGGTAGAAAAACTCCAGTAACAGCTCAGGATACATCAAGTGTTAAATATCTCATTTTCATTGAACCAGATGCATTTAAAATCTCTGTGCTGTTTTTATTGCAGATTGGTGAGAAGAGTTTGTTCACCAAAGAGTTGGAGAACGCTCTGGAGAGAAATGAGTGAGTGTGACCGGTGTCATCTGTGACTGACACCACACTGGCTCCACAGCATTGTTTCACCAACCGACCCTCTCTGTTAAACTAAAGGCTTCTCTGACAGGGGGGTCACTGATACTGACTGATACTTATGTACTGTAGTGGACAACTGCTAATGTCTTGTTTTAACATTTCCACAGCAAAAAAAAAAAAAAGACAAAATAACGTGCTGGTTTTTATTCCTCTCACAATGAGAAAGCCTGAACCTGTGACGTTAAATCCATAAGAGCTGTATGTTCATAGAAAATCCACGCAGAGAGAAACCGTTTGATTTCCCCCACAGCCTCAGATGTAGCAGGTGGTTCTGTTCTGTAGCTGAATGGCTGCATTGTACCTCGAAACATAAATGGAGCTCATATACGTTCCTCTGTGTCCTCCAGGGTCGATCTGGTTGTTCATTCACTGAAAGATCTTCCCACCACTCTGCCTCCGGGATTCACCATCGGAGCTGTGCTGAAGTGAGTACACTCAGACCTGTAGGGCGTCTGCAGAAATACGCAGTGTGACTTAAAGCTGCTTTTCTAACCTATAGTAAAATGAATTCTACCAAATAAATAAGTGTAGAGTTTCAGTTTTGCCAGTGTAATAAATGATGAGTGATGTGATGGCAGCTCTGAGGTGAAATGTGTCACTAGTTGTCTTTAAAATCTCAGAGTGCATTTGAAGATATCCTGAATTATAGTTTACAGAATTTAAATGAAGATATCTGGGATTCACATTTCGCACAGTCAGAACTGTAGATGGGTGGTTGTGGCTCAGGTGATAGAGCGGGTCGTCCTCCAATCGCAAGGTTGGTGGCTTGATCCCCGGCCCCTCCACGGTTTAAGTGTCCTTGGGCAAGACTCTGAACCTGAAGTTGCCTTGCATGGCAGCTCTGTCACCATTGATGTGTGTGAATGGGTGAATGAGAAACACATCGTAAAGCGCTTTGGATTAAAACGTTATATGAGTGCAGACCATTTACCATTTAGATGCTTCAAATTAGATTCAATGGGAAGTTCTCACTTGTGACAATGTATTTACAAAGTGTTGGATCAAAGTTACTGACAGATATCTTAATTCATGATTTGACTAGTCAGCATTACAGTGTAAATCCTGCCAACCTTTTATATATAGAAGTGCAAAACTCTGTTGACACTGACGTGTAGTGTGTCTGTTAGTGTTGCAGCACCTGTCAGGGTTGTTCATGCCACACCGTCATCATCCCTTATCATTCCACAGCGACCTGTGACCACATTTAATTCCAGCGTAGCTCCACCCAGCGTAAACCTGAGTCCAGTCAGACCTTTACTAATGAGTGACCGCATCTGTTTGGGCTCGCCAGGTCTTTAATTTCTGTGTTTGACTCACACATTAGCTCACCTTTTAATACATCTTTTGAGTTGTCCATCTGTCCGATTCTCGTGAACGCAATATCTGTACGTCATCTCTTCAAATTTGGCCATGGGGCTTAACGATGAATGCTACTCATCAAATGTCACTGTGACCTCACAGAATACTCATAACTCAAAAATTAATGTGCTAATTATGATGCATGAACGCGATTAAATCTCACCGTAATATCGCTAGAGTACGGGTGTGCTCGAGTGAAAATCCTGCCGGCTTTATTATACACATGCTTTTATTGTAGTTCCTTGGCTCCCATCTACTCAAAATTTCCTCTTTGAAGTTATTTTTTTCTTTTAACAAGACAGTTGTTGTGCACCTTTTGTCATTTTTCAGACATATTTGTGCTTAAAGTGACAGAGAGTAGCAGATGTTGCCGCAGAAAGACAAACACAATATAAGCTGCTTGCATAAATCCTCACTCCCTCCGCCCAACAACCCCGAACAAAAAAAAAACACCTGATCCAACCACCACAACAGGGCTCAAGGTCGATAGCTGGACTCTTCTCCTCTGTGGTTCCTGGTGGTGGAACAAGTTGCCAAACTCTGGTCAATCTGCTGACTCCCTCTCAGTCTTCAAGAAAAGACTAAAGACCAGCTCTTCACTGAACACTTTTGCACTTCACAGACTGAAAACAAACAAAAAATAAAGTCCTATTACCTCCCACACAGCCTGCTGTTGGCATCAACTCCCTATCACACTTGAACTTGTTCTATGGCACTTATCTAGATTGTTTTTCTCCTGACTAGATCCTTGCTTGTGTTGTATCTGCTCTCATATGTACTTTGGATAAAAGCATCTGCAAAATGAAATTGTAGAATATTAGTGTAAATGTTTATCCCAGCATACATGCATAATAATTGTAGTTTGACTTAAAAGGTCCACTGCAGAGATTTTTTTTATTATTTTTTAACCTCTGGCATTGCTGTGGAATCATTCTTTCGTGCTGTTTTACTGCTCAGCAATTTTCTAAATATAGTAAAGCTCCAGCAAGCAAACTTGGATACACTGAATTATAATAAATGTACAGTAAGTAAATATGAAAGTGTAAATAAATCATTTATATAAAGAAGTGCTGCTTTGCAAAACTTAATATCTATCTAGAGTTTTTCCTTTACTGGAAAGTAAGCACTGCATCTTGGAAAGCCGAAGTGTTTGTTAGACAGGAGAGGGAGGACGGTGTGTGACTGCTTGAGTAGAGTGAAACCACATCAGGAGGTCTGTTTTTGTTTCTTGCGAGCTGCTGTCACTGAAGCAGAGCAGATAAAGAGGTGGTGTGCGGCTTCCAACAGTTTCTAAGTCAAATACCTCTTAGTGTCTTAAGATTAGTGTAGTATTTTGTGGTGTAGTCTTATTGTGGTTGTTGTTTGACCAGCTGTGACCGCTTGTGTGCTTTTTGCTTTGTGCTGCTCACAGGAGAGAAAACCCCCACGATGCCGTGGTTTTACATCCACAGAATGTCGGGAAAACTCTGGAGTCTCTGCCAGAAAACAGGTACAGCCAGACAGATAACTGAACCAGCTCTCTTTGTGTTTTCTCACTCATGTCTGAAGCACGAATAACTTCCTGCTTGTGTGTTTGTGCAGTGTGATCGGCACCAGCTCACTGCGCCGCGCCGCTCAGCTCAAGAAGAGATTTCCTCACCTGAAGTTCAACGACATTGTATCCTTCATGAAAACAGTCATTGTGTCTCATTTCTAAGTTCACATCCTGCACACGTGGTGAGAAGGTGGCAGGAAATCTGTGTGGATGGACAGATATGAGGTTCCAATACCAGAATTAGAATAGGATACTTATTTGAATTCATTTCTAAGAGTAATTTGGGTGAATTGGCCGTTTAAATAGACCAGCAGTTGAGATGTTTTGGTGTATTTGAGGGAGAAACGTTCATCCATGAAGGTCTGTAAAACAAGAACACCCAAGAATAAATAATGAACAATAAACAGTACAGATCTGCTGACTGTGCAGCTGACAGCATCTCTTTATTAGTTTATGGTTTTCTAAACACTGAAAAGTCATGTATAATGATAATTCAATTACAACAACATGTGGTTTTCCCTTTAATACCAGATCAGACTGTTACAGTAGAGTTAAAAAATATCAACTAATTCGATGGAGCTCAAACAAAAGCACACGTTTGCCATTTGATCCTGACCAGTCCTGTCTCCGTGTCAGAGATAACAGTCAATAATGAAGTTGTTCCATGTGGAATCTGTGCTAGCTTTCAGAAATCTACGGTATATTCATCATATTGTATTTAACAACAACAGATAAGTGGGTGGCACAGTGGTGCAGTGGTTACTACTGTCGCTTCACCACAATATGGTTCTGGATTTGAACCTGCTGGTCAGCTGTGTACATGTTCTCCCAGGGGCTTTAATCTAGTGCGCTGGCTTCCTTCCAGCAAGTGTCCATGGTTGTTTAGTTCTTTAAGTTAGTCCTGCGATCGACTGCCTGCAACCCTCTTCAAGACAGACTGGGTACAGCTAACTTTCCGTCTATATGAACACCCTTAGAGGGGGTAGATTTGGCTTTTGGAGGTGTTGTCCTTAACTGCAGTCTTCAGCGAGGGAACCTGAACACACGGCTGAAGAAGCTGGATGAGAAGGAGGACTTTGCCGCCATCATCCTGGCTGCCGCTGGCCTCAGGAGGATGGGCTGGGAGAGCCGGATCAGCCAGGTACATGAACATACCAACCCTCCTGTAAAGTCTCTCAGTAATACTTCTCATCTAACAGTCTGTCCCGTACTTTTCCACTGGCAGATCCTGGGGCCTGAAGACTGCATGTACGCTGTCGGCCAGGTAGGAACAGTGGGATGGAAAACACGCTGAGAAGGTTAATTAATGTCTAATAATAGTAACTCAGGACCTCCACGTGTGTGTGTTGTCAGGGGGCTCTGGCAGTGGAGGTTCGAGCCAGAGATGTAGACATCCTGGAGATGGTGTCTGTCCTCCATGACCCTGACACTGTGCTGCGCTGCATCGCTGAGAGAGCCTTCCTCAGACACCTGGTACACACACACACACACACACACACACACACACACACACACACACTTTGACTTGTTTTTACACTGTGTCAAAAGGGAAACGCTGTGTATTCACATTACCTCTTACTTGCAGGAGGGTGGCTGCAGCGTTCCGGTGGCGGTACACACCCAGGTCAAAGACTCCCAGGTAAGAATGCCAAATAAGGACTAAGCCCCGCCCCCTGCGGTGCTGTTGCTCAGCTTTCTGTTCCAGCACAGCGTTTGTACAGTTGACAAGAGCACATTTATCACTCGAACGTCATTGTGTTTTTTTGAAACAGTGGGTCTTTGATTTCAAACAAAGTCGGGCATCTCATTTCGAGCTGATATTGTCCAACTGAAATGATGCACAGTTTCGGAAATAATCATCTGACCACTGCTTCTGCCTCTTCCTTTGTAGTTCTTCACACTGTGTTTTCTTCTTAAGGTTGTTATGAACAGTTGTTGAGCTGATTCCAAGGCAGTTAGCCAGCTCTTTATCCCTGTAGCTTTGTGAGGCACCAAGTTGTCTGTTTTCGCCATCTTGCAGCTCTTTTTTTAGGCATAATTAAGTATTAATTTAGTTTAGATTATCTGTTGACTTTACATGTTCACACAAAATAATGGTGACTCAAAAAGGTCTTCGGCAATTTTTTCAACACATCATATTTTAAAACATAATTTATTGCTTGTATTGAATTATTTAAAGTCTTTTGAATGTCTTTCAGAAGATGCTGTTATTAATTCACATTACGATAAATTTCAAACTAATTTTTCAGCGCTAAAGGCCTGTCATACAGACTTTGTAAAGAACACAGCTGGTAGTCTGCAAATGATTTCCAAAGCTGTTGCTAAGCTAGCTGATTAAACCGCCAAATAGTAAATTTTTTTGGGTCACATACTTTTAGCATTTGCTTATGCAGGTATAAATGTCAGGTAGAATCTACGAGGGTTTTTTTTTTTCGTTTTTTTTTTCTCTGTTCTTTTATATGTTTGTATCCCAGTGTGTTTTTCTTTTATGTGTGTGGGACACTGGATGGAAATTAGCTCTGTGCTAAATCCGGCGTATTAACTGCAACCTGTGATTGTACGTTCATTAATACGCATGGTCCCGTCCAAATAAATAGAATGAAATGAAGTGAAAACGAGTACACCACGATGACTCAAGAAACCCTCAACTGATTTCAAAAATAATCAGGAGCACTTGTTCCAAGTTATGCCACCCCTTGGCTCTGCCACTGCTTTTCAGCTGACTCATTTTATTACTCTGACTCTATAAAAGGATCTTTTAATGTGCCCTGGATGGCTACATACATGATAATGAGCCCAGGACTGAGCTAAAGCTTCAGAAAGTCTGCATCCTCACCAGCTGATAGTCCGTCTAGAAGACATAAAAGATGTAAAATAGTTTTTCATTTCACCGTTTGGATGCTGGAATCAGGCTTCGTTACATGAACTTTCCTAATTCCACAGAAGATTAGTTCATGTTGATAATACACATATAATGATTTTGTAAATAGTCCAGCACCAGTAACTATCTTGTTGACACTCCACATAAGAGCAGCAGACAGCTGGGTCCACACTCTCTCCTTACACTTGTGTTTCAAGTGTAATTAATTTGCCAAAATTCATTGTTGTCATAAATTCCTATCGTGTAATACATATCAGTAGTAGAACCCAGGTTCAGGCCGTCATTACGCATTTAATCTTTCGCTCCATTCCTAACCCACAGTGATGTTTGCTCCATTTTGTGCCCCACTTTAACCAGCCCATTTGTAGGGATCACGCTAGTTAGATTTGTAAATAAAGATGGCACAGATCATGAGTGCACATTTGTCTTTTTCTGTGTGTCCCCAGCTCTACCTGACCGGGGCAGTGTACAGTCTGGACGGATCAGACAGCCTGAAGGAAACCATGCAGACGAGCATCACTGCTGGTGACAAGGTAACAGCTGAGTGTCTGCAGTCTGTTGGACATGACTGTTGGCTTGACTTGAAAATGTGTCGGTCCCCACAGCACAGCTCAGCTTTGCATTCATAATGTGCCCATGTGTCGCAGAGTTCAGAAGAGGTGGACGAGCGGCTCCAGAGAGTGGGAGTCACAGCCAGCAAGGTCCCTGGTGAAGCCCAGGACAGAGCTGAGCGGCTGGGGGTCGACCTGGCCAACTTACTGCTGAGCAAAGGAGCCAAGGAGATCCTGACCGTTGCCAGGCAGCTCAATGATGCCAGATAATGCTGCCCGGCCGAGGGACGGGGCCCAGAGTGAGCAGTCAGTCACAACCTTGTGTCAAGTAGAAACCTGCAGTCCTTCTTTGTGGTATGCATTTGATGTTGATAAAAAGATTGGTGACCTTCTGTCGCACCAGGGGAGGATTTCAAACACTACTTGGACCAAAGTTGTGCTCAGCGTGCGACAAAGCTGCTAAATTGACCGCCATTCTCGGTTTTGTAACCCTGCTGTCTGTAGCACTCTTGGTCTTGGTTCCAGCCTGTTCTTACACTCAGTACCTCATGGAACCATCTCCTGAGCCACGCAGAAACCACCTCACTAGGATTATCAGCGAGACACACAAAATGGCCTTCAGACGTTTTCGTCAGCACTCGTAGTTCCACCGCTAGCTGATCCCGTCATGGTCAAACCCTTAGTTGTTTTGTTTTTTTAGCCCAGCAGTACATTAACTGCACAGCCCGCTAAAATTCAGCAAATATCTTCCCTCCACACTCAAGGGCGTTTCATCTATCATTGTTCTTCACAAGCAGATATAAAAGACAAGATAAAGTTCATCTCGTAGCTTTGAGCAGACTTTTTTTTTGATGGTACCAAAGATGAGTTTCCAAGGTTGTGGACACATTTTCTGGATTGATGCAATGAGGTGACTCATTTCGGTGCAAAGGTTTGAAAGAAATGTAAATAGTTGAGTAAATCCAGCGCCATCATTGGCTTTGTGTTTGAACTTTGTCACACTTACTTGATGTGCTTATCGGAGCACTGAAACTAGTGTTTGGCCTGAACGTACCCTTCCTGCGTAACCTTCATCCAGCTCTTGCTGACTTCAACGTTTCCAGCTGAGGAGGCCTGATGACTTGCTACCTCTTTAACAGAGAGAGATTATATTTAATATACACAATAAGCTGGAGGGAGCATTTAGTTTGACTCCACCTGTGACACAGCGAGTGATGCTAAGATCTCTGCAGCTTTGCACTGAATCTGTATGAGTTTCACTACATGTTTAACACTGGAGCTACACTTTCACACCAGGCCCTGCGTTAGTTTTCAGCCTCCTGCTCTATTTTAAATGTGAACTGTTGTCCTGTTTTATGCCTCGTTCATATTGCATGTTGAATATATGGGTGTAATGTCTGTGCACAATGCCTTGCTGTAGTACACAAGGTATCAACTGTGAGCTTAGAATTTTAAAATGATGGTTTAAAAGGTGTTAATGCTACCGTTGTGGATGTACAGAAGTAGAATGGACTGTTGAAAAGGTAAAAAAAAAAAAAAGAGCTTACATGAAATGGCCTCAGACCCCTGATCATTTCTTTCAACCATAATAGATGTTTACAGCTATATTGCCACACTCATTACCTTGAATTCAGCAGAACTTGGGCATCATGGACCCATTCATGCTGCTGATGCTGGTATGTTGTGGTGTAGTTCTATTGAAGCACATTGCATTCATCAAACAAAGCAAAGTTGGACATAGTATCTCATAATTTTATTCTATATCATAGTTTTGTCACAATTCTCAGATTTAAACGAACTCTGAGACAAAGATCATTCTCCTAATTCTGATGCTGTTCGGTGATCTTCACTTCGTATCATGATTACACCTCCTCCTGTAGATACCGACCTCCTACCTGCAGTATAGTTCTATTTTTGTAATAGATTCTCATGTTCATGAGAGCATTTCTCATAATCACAGCGTCTGTGTCTCACAGAGACTATATAGAAAGATGGACGTGGCCTTTGGGTTGGAAAAGTGGAACCAACATAGATGTGCATTCTTTCTAACAGCCAGCAGGGGGCGACTCCTCAGTTTGCAAAAAGAAGTCTTGATTGTAAAAAAAAAAGTCTATGAGAAAATAACCCTACTTCTCACTTGACCTGTTACCTCAGCAAACATTTTACTTACAAGTTTTTGGGCTCAATTGCTAATTAATCCGTTATGTACATTCTGGTCCCATTAAGAGATAAATGGATAAAGTAGGGTAAGTTTTAAGGCGGGGCTACGTTGTGACTGACAGGTTACCACCATGCTGCTTGTGTGTTCAGTCAGATCCAACCCTCCCTCATTCCATTCAGATTTTTCAGAGCTACATGGCAACAGCAGAACTCCACACTGGAGGCTTCAGAATAGTCCACAAACTAAATAAGTCACGTCACAGTTGCTATGTCCATCTTTTCTATACAATCTGTACAAAATAATTATGAGAAGCCATAATCAGGAAGTGTTTTCTTGTATATTAAAATATGGACGTCCTAATTATGAGATACAGAAGTATGAGTTAACGAATACATACTTTGGTAAATGCAGTGCCTGTTGGTGTCGTCTTCCACAGCAATTCAAACTTTAAGCAGGTCATTTACAAAATTAACTAAAACCTTTTGCTGTAATGTCCTGCAACATGCTGTTCTCCACATATCGACCCTTAAATGTTTCCAAAAGCAACTTTATGACTTACATGACACTTATACTTACAGCCTGGAATGTCGTGTTTGTCTTTCATTCTAAGTGCTATCTTTTTACATGTATTATTTTTGCCTAAGTAACTGCATATATGCCTTATATACAGTTTTATTTCTTTGATAAATCCCAGTAAGCATTCATTCTGCATCTGTACAGGTAGTGTGATACTATATTGTTTATCTTTTATAGGCATTTGTTGTATATTATACTTAATTTAAACCTCGTGATACAATTTGAGGTAACATTAGCCATATTTGTTGTTTTTTTTTCAGCTTTAATTTCTGCCTGAACTAACATAGAATTTTTCTTTGTTTAGGCTTGTTGTCACAGTACTGTGTCCGTTAATAACAAAATACTTACATGGTGTCTTTGTTTAGACACTTACATGAACGTCATGTCAAATGAAAGTACTGATGTCAAGAAACAATTGCCAATAAAGCTACGTGTGTTAAACATGTCCAGTCCCTGTGAGCTGTGGTTAATCACACACCAGCAGAGAGCTCTGACTGCTGTTGCAATTGAATAACACCTCAGATCAATATATTGTATTTGTTTGTTAATATAGTGAGAAAAGTACAACCAGGGGCGCCGCTATAGCTCACCTGGTTGAGCTGGCGTCTCATGTGCAGGGCTACAGTCCCAATGTGGAGGTCATGAGTTCAAATCCCACTCATGACCCTTTCTCACATGTCCTCCCCCTATTCGTCTCCCCTACTTCCTGTCTCTCTCTCACTGCATTATCAATAAAGGCACAAAGGCCAAAAAGACAACTTAAAAGAAAAGTACAACCACTGGGGTGTTCCAACACACACACACACACAAACACACACACACACACAAAAACGGCCTGCAAAGCTGCTACTAAATAAAAAGATGATGTAGGCACAGAATATAACTTTGCATCTACATATTGTCTAGTAGAAGGCCATGTGCGGCTGCATGGGGGCATTTTTTTATATGTCATCCTTTTAAAATTCTTAAAGTTGTGCATCATTAAGGACTGATGGTTCCGTCTCTGTCTGTAGTCAGGCTTTCCTTCCAAAGTCTCATTGTGAAAACAAACATGTTTCATTTAATTCAGGGTATTCAAGGATCAGCTACTCCTCTTTTTTTTCTTCCATGCCTGCCTGGATGCCTCCTTTCTATTGCATGAGCTTGCCAGGCGCCAAACTGCCGTGGTGCAGCACAAGCCATTGTAAATAAAGGGTTTCAGAGCACAGCGGTGCTGTTGTTGTGTTCTGTGTGAAAGAGTCATTAGAGTCAGGCACTGCCAAGAAGGACAGACACTGAGCTTCAAAAATGCTCCTTAGAAAACCTATAGGTGACTCACAAAGAGTGCTGGTGGCACAAAGAAAACAGTGAATCATCAAACGTGCTGCTTGGGAACAAAGAGTACCTGTGCCAAACTTGGTCAAATTCAGCCCATGTTGTGATATTTTATTGTGAGTGGCACAGCTCGAAGATCCAGGGTTTAAATCTCAGCCCGGGATCTTTCTGTGTGGAGTCTCCATGTTCTCCCCGTGCAGTGTGGGTTCTCTCCAGGTTCTCCGGCTTCCTCCCACACAGTCCAAAAACATGTTGAGGTTAATTGGTGATTCTAAATTGTCCGTAGGTGTGAATGTGAGTGTGCTTGGTTGTCTGTCTCTAAGTGTGGCCCTGTGATAGACTGGTGACCTGTCCAGGTGAACCTGCCTTCACCCTGAGTCAGCTGGGATAGACTCCAGCCCCCCAATGACCTGACAGTGGATGAAGCAATGTATAGATAATGGATGAATGGATGGATGGATGGAAAATTGTAACCTGCAGGTGGCACTACAGGAAAAAGCTCATTTCTGTTCATTTTCTGTGGACCAAGAACAAAATGCCATGCCAACTGATCTAGTATTTACTATCATATTTCAATCTGGGCAAAAGTAGTGGATCAACCAACCAGTGCTGCTATCTCTAGATGACACAAGCTTTTAAAGAAGTCACTGTGAACCAAAATGTAGACAAAGAAAAAATGCTGCAACAGATTATTTTATTATTTGATCAAACAATCTCATCATGCATTGATGCAAGGACTGGCCAACTGATGGACACCTCCTGGCTCAGCAAATCTTTTATGATGGATGAATTCCTTATTTTTTATCTAAAGTTGTGCGACCGCTGTGCTTGGGTTTATCTGAGGAAATTATCAGAAGATTTTCCTCCTTGGAGCCCCTCCTCCACTCAAACTGCAGCCTTCCATACTGAGTCTTCCCACAGGGCTCTGAAGTGAAGAAGCTGTGCTGGGAGGCCATTGGCACAACATGGTGAGAGCAAAAGGAGGCCGGTCCCAGGGTGTCTTTCATCTCAATCTTCTGCACCACCCTGTGATGTGCAGCGGCCTGGCCAGGCTGCAGTGAGGGGAAGGTTGTTGCAGTTTGTGTGGCATTGGACGTCCTCACAGGATGCTCTGCAGCATGGAACCTTGCTGCCCGTGGAGAACGGAAACCTTGGACAGAGATCAAATTGTACAGGCTCTTCCTCCACTCAGGCATGGGCTTAGGACTTGTGTCTTTCAGTCCCTCAGAAATAGTCTGAGTTGAGGACTGTGAGGCCCTGTTGGCCAGAGGGATATCCAGTCCACCTGTCCAGTTCACCTCAAGAGTTCTGGTCTGAACAGTGGAGGCTCCACACTCCACTGTTCTGGTCTGGACAATGGAGGCTCCACACTCCACTGTTCTGGTCTGGACAATGGAGGGTGGAGCCTTGTGAGTAGGACGACGCTTAGACAATTTTCCTTGGAGAGAAAAGTTCTTGTTGTGGACTTTGGACTTTTTGTAGAGATCCAAGACTTTTGGATCGAGGCCCACCCACACTTCATCTTTGATGTTGCCATGTTTGGTCAAGGACAGGGGTAAGCTTTGATCCCTCAATGGTGAGAATCCCGGAGAGTCAAGTTCAGGTTGGGGTTTAGGTTCATCTGGACTTGGAGGAGGAGTTTGGTTTTGGTATGTGGTGCTCCTAAGCTCTAGAAACATGGAAAGATACATGATACATGAAGAATGTGAAATCTCAACAATGGCAATTTAGCTGTGTAACAGGCAGTGGGCCTCAGACAAGAACCATTTTGTATTCTCATCCCTTCACTCCATTTGCAGGCAAGTTACGTCCACAACAAGACTGTCTACAGCTATGCTAATGGATCTAGCTGTAGATGTACACCAGGACTGGTGGTAGGGATGTCATGAACTCTGTAAGTCTGCTCATGAATCAGTAAATAAAGATGTAGGTTGATGCACCAGACAAAAACAAGACGACCATCATAGTGATTGCAATTAGTTCTATGGGGATCATGGATATCAGTATACAAAACTGTGAAACTTTAAAAGTTGTCAAGCCAGAGCAGAAATGTCCTGAGATCACCCTCTGAAAACATCCAAGTTCACAGCAGAAATAAACTTGTTTTACAGTCTGGTTCAAAACACCAGGTTTGGTCTCAATTGCTAACTTCTCAGTTCATGTCAAGTGTATGGGGAGTTCATTTTTATCTAACATGCCCGTTTCAACTGCTTAAAATGATGAAAAATTAAGAGCATGGCGGCTTTGATAGACAAGTTTGTGCCATCAGGACAGTCTGTGACCCAGAGACATTTGTATGACCCTCCTCAGCTCCACTTACGCTCCACCTCTTTGCTCATTTTTAAATAATCCTGATGCAATTGAGCATCTGTGGGATGCACAGGAACAAGCCCGATCTCACTTATGGGTCAGAGCTGTTTTGGTAGCACAAGGGGGACCTATGCAATAGTAGGTCATGTTAACGTTGTGGCTGAGTGGTGTATATAATTAACTTAGTATTAATTAAGTTCTCTCAGAGACCCCCTCAAATGAAAATCTCCTTTTTTTCCCACAGATACACAACAGTGTAGAGTTAAATCTAAACCATCTGAAGGCAGGAAAGGAATATTTTTTGAGGAAAAAAAATCTAAATATGCAACTTTGATACTCAGAGATATGTTTTTAGGTGTTCATTGAAAATGCAGGGGTTACTGGAGATAAGAAATCAATAAAGGGATCACTTAAAAACAGATGTGTTCACAAAGTGGTTCTTGAATGAGGCCCAGTGTGTCCCTGCACCGAGTGAATACAGTTTATGTGGTCTTGATGACAGTCACCTTGCTTTGGGATGACAGCAGACACCACAGGACGTTCTTCTTGAGGCTCCAGCTGGTCTAAAGAAACAGAAAAAAAAAAAGTTGCAAAACACGGTAAAAAAACATGTTTTTACTCAAGTAGGATACAAATAGCTACGTCAGATATCAGCATCATTTGCACCTTTAGGAATGAAGCTCGGTGTCTTCTGGATTGTTGGCACAGTCTGGATGTGATTCGACGGCTTCACCGGGACAAACGTTTCTATCTCGTCCTCTTCCTTCTCTTTCTCCTCAAAGCTTTTCTCCAACTCCACCTCCTCCACTTTTACTTCTGTCT